GGGGACAGGCCCGACCCAAACGTGAGACTGTCAGCGCAGGTCTGAGGCGAGGCGTTCGCCCGCGCGCGGGCCCACGCGCGGAGCCAGCCCGCAGCGTGTGAGCACCGGCGTCGTGAGCGCCGCACGTGCCAGCCCGCGGCCGAGGCCGCCGAGGCCGCCGGGATCGCCGGGGCGGCCACCCTCCGTCGGGCCATGGTGCCGTGGACCCGTCGACCCCCTCGAGTCATGACAAAATCACGACGGGAGGCTTTTCGCTATTTTCGGCCTCTGGGGGCCCTCGCTGGGCCTCGGGAGCGTCAAAAAACGACTCGGGATGAAAAGCCGGTCCCGGGGAATGGGTCCGGACCTCTGGGGGTCGCGTCATGGAAAAATCATGACGTCGGGGGTCTGGGGAGGAGTGGGGGGGGGACGAGTGACGAGGTGCACGGACGGAGGAGCGCTGCGAAGAGGGTTCGAGGAGGAGATCGACTAGAGAATGGATCTGCTCCAAGAGTGGTTTTCCCGTGGAATCTATTCAGGCATGCCCAGGATGCGCCGTAGATCTACGGAGCATCCTGCGTGCTGTCCTGAGAGAGTCGACGAGGGAACGAATCCTGGGGTATACGAATTCTGGAATCCACCTCCTACTCGACGGGTGGGGCACGATGGGGGGCAGCGGCAGCAGCCGCAACGAGAGGGCGAGAGAGAACGAGAGGAGGACGAGGAGCCCAGACGAGCCCAAGCCGGCTTTCCTCGCCGCCCCGCCTCCCGGATCGATCCTGGGCCGGGGTGCCGGTGACCCGCCCGGAACTCTCGACCCGCCGTGACCCCTCGGGGGCCCCGTCCTGGCCTCGCTGCTGCGGGTCGCTCTGCCGGCCTCGGCGCACACCGTCGCCGCCTCTGCGGCACGGCGTGCACGCGGACGCTGCGGGCTCCTCGGCGCGCCCGACAGCCTGCCGAAGGAGGGGGAGCCACGCTCCGTGACACAGAAACACGACGAGAAGTCGTCCGCCGCTCTCGGTCTCCGGGGGGTCGGCCCACGCAGGAGCCGTCGAGAAACGACTCACCAGACATGCGACGTCCTGTTTTTTCAGGACGGCGTCCCCGGAAGTCCGGACCCTCTCCCCAGGACCGGCTTTTCATCCTTTTTGACGCTCCCGAGGCCCGGCGAGGGCCCCCAGAGGCCGAAAACAGCGAAAAACCTCCCGTCGTGATTTTGTCATGACTCGAGGGGGTCTGGGAATCCGGGCCAGAAACGACTCGAGATCCTCTGTGTCGCCCCCGGTGACTTTGCTCGCATGGGCGTGTCTTGGCGAGGCGGGGCCCGAAAGGAAGTCCAGACTCCGCGCACGTCGGGACGCACCTGCACGCCATTTCTCGGCCCAGCGTCAGGTCGGGCCTGTCCCCCTACAGAGAGAGAAATTTTGGGCGTGAAATGCGAAATACCCCAAACATACCCCAAAAACGCTCAAAAGTAATAGAAAAATCGTCCCTAGACTATTTTTTGACTATTTTGGGATATTCCTCCTGTAAAGGAACATGCCCGATGTAAGGCGAGGGAAGGGGGGGGCGACATGCCCTGCAAGGCAACTTGCCCGAGTCTCTAGAGAGGCCTCTCAGATGGGGTCGGAGCATGGGGTCGGAGGATCGCACTGTATTGCCGATACCTCGCTGATGCATCGACAATGCATCGCCGATGCATCGGCAATGCATCGGCCTTGCATCGGCGGTGCATCGGTGACGTCGGCGCCACGAGCATCCGGATCCGCATCGAGCCGCACCAGCGACGCATCGGCGACGCGGCGCGATCCTCCGAGTCCAGCTGCTCGGGCCCCACCTGCGAGGCCTACAGCCCAGAGCATACAACGCTCTCATGATAAGCCGCAGTCGTCTCGGGGAAAGAGTCGACACCTCCGGGAGGGGGGGCTCCACGCGGCGAGAGAGCCACGGCGTCAGAGGTCCCAGGAAGATAGTGAAAGAGAAAACGGCATGAACATAAACCATTGGCGCTCCGCGCGGATTTCTGGAGGCTGCGCTGGACCCCCCTTCCTGGCGCGCGGAGCGCGCCAGGGGCGGCGCCGGAGGCGCCGTCAGGGGGCCCCAGCGCAGATCCAAGAAATTCGCGCAGAGCGCAACGAAGCTTATGTTTATAGCGTTTTTGGTGGGCTTGTCTTCCACCACCACCATCACCACCACCATACGGAGGAGGGGGAGGGGGTCCTCCTCCTCCTCCTCCTCCTCCTCCTCCTCCTCCTCTTCCTCCTCTTCTTCCTCCTCCTCACCCTCCACCTCCTTCCCCCCTCCAGCTTATGGTGGTGGTGGTGGAAAACAGGCCCATCAGTTTTTCCATCTTCGAGAAGAGGGGGCAGGAGGGCGCGACGCGGGACCGCGCCGAGCCGCGGGACGCCGCCGAGTCCGCCGAGCAGTCTGGCGGCTCCAAGGCTCGGGCGGCGACGGGCGCTCCGGCGGCAGCGGCTTCCCCAGACCCCCTCGAGCCATGGAAAAATCAGGGCGGAAGGCGTTTCGCGCTTTCCATTCGGCTACGCGCAACAGTGACCCCAGGCCAAAGTGACCCTAGGCAAGAGTGACCCTAGGCAACAGTGACGGGTGACGCGGGGGGACCAAACACAAATGCACAGGACGCTACTATCGCATCGGGTCCGGCGATCGGGGGACCCCAGTGGGCCCGCACCAAAGGTTACTCCGGCGAAGGGTCACTCTTACGTGTATTCGATTCAACCTCTGGGGGCCCTTGCTGGGCCTCGTGGCCGACACACAACGACTCAGGATGAAACGCCAGTCCCAGAGGATGGGGCCAGACCTCTGGGGGTCGCGCCATGAAAAAACCATGACGTCGGGGGTCTGGGCCTACAATGCCAGCGCGCCCGCCGCTCGACGACTTGGCACTCGGCCTCACTGTCTGGCTGGCCGCCGGCCAGTGCTGGCGCGGAGGAAGACGGCGAGAGACGACGAGTGCGAGGAAGGTCGGCGACCAATCGCGACTTGGTACCGAGGCGACGAGGATGGCGAGGAAGGAGGATGAGGCGGAGGGTATGGCAGAAGAGCAAACACCTATACTTTCTGGAAGGTATCTGGATGCGCGAGGCCTCTGAACTTGTCGCGATGGCTAGGGAAACCGAAAGGTACCGATACCGCTACCCCCAGGACCTCTCCCGGGGTGCGTTCTGACCAGGATCTCGCAGCGAATCCAGCGGTGGCGACGACGGAGGCCCAGGAGGCCCAAAGAGGGGAAAACGAGGGGAGGGTAGAGGTATGGGTACCTCTTCCTCCTCGGAATGGTCGTGCGTGGAGCACTCCAGGGGCCAGAACAGGAGCCCGAGGGCCCGGTCGGGGCGATCCGGCAGTAGGCAGGGAACGGCTCGGGGAGAGAACGAGTGCAGGCAGCCCAGGGGTGGCCCCCCTGCCTGGGTGCCCCAGTGGGGCTGGGGCAGAGAAGCCGAGCGACGCGTCGAGAGAGGGAAGGAGAGGGAGGCGGGAGAGGAGCGAGGAGGAGCGGGGGGAGGCAAGGATGGGGGACGTCCAAGAGGGGGGTGTGCGCGGACCAGGGGGGGGCCAGGGAACGCATGGAAACAAGAAGAGGGGCCATGAGATCTGGGGAGATGTCGTGGCCCCCGCCGTGATACCCTCCCCCCCTCTCTAGTCAGCACCCCCCTCTGGACCGCCCCCGAAGGGAGAAGAGAGGCAGCCGGGAGGCGGAGTGGCGAAGCCGGATGCAGCGAGAACGGCGCGGGAAAGGCGCACCGGCATCGTGCGACCAACGTCGTGGCACGTGCTCCTTCGTGCCACATTTGACAATACAGAGGCATGGCAACATGCAATCACCTGAGCTGGCTCGTACATGTTGTCACCATACCGTGTGTCTGCCTGAATTCGGACTAACGATGCCGTTCGCCACTTGCGTGTTCCCCGAATTCATTATCAACTACAAATGGTGTGAAATACACGTCGTTCATATCTAATCGCGTTCATCTCCAATTGTGCTCGTTTCTAATTGTTCCTGGCCCCCTAGTGGCCAGGAAGAGGCCCAGGATAAGAACAAGAACAAGTAGACATGAAAGGATCTTGGCTCCCCAGAAAATCAAAGAACGTTCGACTACCTCGACATTCACAATGTGTACGTTTCTGTGCCTTGAAGTGGGACGCGCCCGTCCTCCGTAGAGTTGGGGAATCACCGTCTTCCAGATCCGAAAAGCATATTCCGAGTGTTGACACATCGCCCCTTGGGTTTGGGGAGCAGCCGCACGACGAATCCTCCCACGGCGCCTCGGGTCTCGGCGAGGAGGTGTCACATCTTGTTGGGCAAAGAGGCAGCACATCTCGAGCCAAAGGGAGCCATGGGGGGCTGGCAAGTCAGGGACATACCGAGCAGGAGGAGGAGGAGGAGGACCAGGAGGACGACACTGAGGAGACGGTGGTGCTCGAGGACGAGACGGAGGAGGCGAAGTGAGAGAGGAGGAGGAGGAGGAGGAGGAGGAGGAGGAGGAGGAGGAGGCAGAGCACGACGACGAGGGGGACGAGGGCGGCACAGGGGCGGTACATCTCGAGCCAAATAGAGATATGGGGGGCTGATTGATCAGAAACATACGGAGGAGGAGGACGAGGAGGACGACAATGAGGAGACGGAGGTGCTCAAGGACGAGACGGAGGAGGCGAAGTGAGAGGAGGAGGAAGAGGAGGAGGAGGAGGAGGGCGAGCAGGAAGCAGAGCATGACGAAGAGGAGGAGGACGAGTGTGGCGAAACGCGGCAGCAGGGCACGAGGAGGAGGAGGAGGCCGAGGACCCAGACCCCCGCCGTCATGATTTCCAGAGGGCCAGACCCATTCCCTGGGACCGGCTTCTCATCCTGAGTCGTTTTCTGGCGGTCCCGAGGGCAGGTGAGGGCCCCCAGAGGCCGAAACTGGCGAACAAACCTGCCGTCGTGATCTTTCCTCGCGGCGCGAGGGGGTCTGGGGACGAGGCGGGCGGCGGGGGCGAGGCCGGCGAGGCTGGCGGCGAGGACCTCACGAGCTGCCCAGCCGCTGCCCGGAGCCCTGGAAGGCCGAGAAGGACCCGCCCCCCCTGGCGGGCTGCGGCCGCCTGTCGCGGAGAGGTCCGCGCGGGCCGCCGCGACCGTCCGCGGGTCGACGACGACGACGACGACGCCGACGATGACGACGACGACGACGACGACGACGACGACGACCGACGGAGGACGAAGGACGACGGACGACGAATCAAAGCAGAGGCCAGCGGCGGGGAGGAGGAGCGAACGCAGCCCAGTGACAGTGAAAGAGGAAAGTGGGGGAAGAGGAGGAGGAGGAGGAGGAGGAGGAGGAGGAGGAGGAGGAGGAGGAGGAGGAGGAGGAGGAGGAGGAGGAGGGAGGGCGAAGGGGGTTGGGGAGGGGGAAGGGGGGAGGAGCTGGACTGGTGTGCTCCCGCGGAGAGGAGAGGGGGGAGGGGAGGGGAGCGGGGAGAGGGGAACGACCGTGACTGGGAGGGTGAGGGGAAGGTCGGTTGGCATCGGGGGGGAGGGCCAGGAGAGGATGGGTAAACCATGAAAAGACGAGAAAACATGCAGCAAGGAAATAGGAGCAGGAAGACACGTTTGCACCTGGAAGCAAGCCGGACAGGACGAATGAAGGGTACAGCGCACGCCATCGCTCAGACTACGGTATTGATGGTCGGAGCTCTTCCTCCTCCTTCGGGTTGGCTGAGTTGGCATCTAGCTTGCGTTTCCGCAGAAAGCAATACCCCTAAGGCGGGACGACGCACTACCATGACTCATCAAGGCACCTATACACGAAAATTAAAAATCACTACGACGGTAGGAACCCACATGGAAACCTGTTTAGCTTACCCTTTTGCCCTTTCCTCCTCCCCCTGGCGGACATCCTCTCCTCTCGCCCTCTGCGCTGCCCTCTCTTCCTCCTTCTATTTCTCTTCCTCCTTCTCCTCCTCCTCCTCCTCCTCCTCCTCTCGCGCCACCTCCTCCTCGTCGTCGCCCTCCCCCATGCCCCTTCCCTCCTCATCATCCTGCCTTCTCTCCATGTGCACCTCCCGTTCCCCCTGGTCGTGGCAAGCAACTCGATTTTCCTCGGCGCCGTCGCCGCGTCGGCCAGCGCGCGCGCTCGTTTGCCGACGGCTAGATCGCGAAGCCGTCGGGGCAACCCTTCGGGCCATGCCGTTGGGGCAACCTCGCAGGCCGCAGGGGCGCGGGAGCCAGCCGTTGGGACAAACCCGCGGGCCTCCAGGTGCGCGCCGCGGCGCCCAGGCGGGCGGCAGCACGAAGCCCAGCTCTGCCGCGAGCTGCCCCGCCTCAGCCCTGGAGTCCACCGCTCTCTTGTCGAACTCCTGGAGCGCCTCCCGCAGCGACGCCGGCGGCCCGCGCTCCAGGAACTCTCGCGCGGGCGGCCGCAGGATCAGCATGTTCCGCACGCACGTGGCGCGGGAGAACATGACGTAGAGGTGCAGCCACCACATCTCGTCCGACATGCCCGCGCGGCCGGCGTCCTCATCCCTGGCGCAGTCGATGGCGACGCCCTTGCGCAGCGTCTGGCCCTGCGACAGCGTGGAGGTCAGGTAGGACGCACGCGTGAGGGTGAACCCCGAGCGGCGCGCAGTGTGCGCCCCCGAGCTTTGCCACGTGAGCTCCTGCTCGCTGGGCCTGAACATGAGCAAGCTCCTCGCCCGCGCTTCGGTCTCGGCGTCGTCGGCAGCGCCATCGGCGCCCTGCTGAAGCACCTCGGCGACCTCCCTGTAGATCGGGGACTCCTGGAAGCCGTGCACCTGCAGCCAGATTCCCTGCGGTAGGTAGCGGGGGCGGAAGAGCTGGCCTGGCGCGCGCTCCTCGTAGTCCCGCTCGTCGTCTGCGTGAAACCCGAAGGACACGATGGCGGCCCGTTGCTCCTGCACGAGCCCCAACTTCTTCTTCAGCTCCTCCTGCGCGGCCGTGAACCGGACCTCCATGCCGACGCGCGCCGGCAAGATGCCGGTAAGACGCGCGCCGGTAAGACGCGCGGGATGTCCCCCGTCTTGTGCATGTTCGGGGCGTTCAGGAGGCGCCGGCCTGCGTCTGGATCGCCTTGAATCGCGCCGCACTCGTCTGCGGCCTGCAGGAAGACGAGGGGGGCGCCGAGGCGCCGCGCGTCGCGACGAGCGCGCACGTTGATCCACCTCGCCAGCGTCTCCGAGTAGATGCCCATGCCGTAGCCGAGCCGGAAATTATCGTGCTGGCGCCGTGGGTCCAGGACGCCGTGGTTGTCAGAGGCCAACGTCTTCTCCCAGGCAGACCAGACCTCTGGTGGGAAGCGCTTGCCCTCGCGCGCGCAGCCCAAGAGCGCGATCAGAAGGCCCCCGGGCTCGAAGCGCTTTGTGCCCTTCAGCTCGAAGACGCAGGGGATCTGAGAGAAGACCCTGATGGCGTGCTGGATCTCCACCGTCGGCGGCTCCGCGTACTTGTACGACCCGTCGTCCAGGAGCTCGTTCACGTCCGTCAGGGGCCCGATGCTGCTGGTGGGCTTCAGCTGCAGGAGACCCCCGAGGTGCAACGCGATGGGGGCGCGGCCGAAGTGGTGGTGCGGCCTCTTGTAGGTGGACTCCTGCACTTCGTGCGTGTCACTGCGCCCGTGGCAGGCGCGAAGGTCCAGCGCGTTGTACAGAGCAGCTGCCACCATGCTTACCTCCTCGATGACCAGGGCGCGGACGTGCTCCCACAACCACTGCAACCTCTTCTGCATGCCCCCCGGTCTCATCTTCGCGTTGATGTACTTCTGGGCTCGCAGGGCGCAGGCGTTGTGCAGTGTTCTGGCCTTCGGCGTCTCCGTGGAAATGTTCTTCGCCTGCGCGTTCGAGAAGGCCGCGACCATCATGGCGCCCAATAAGACGAAGCTGGGATCGGGGCAAAGTTTGACCGGGATAAAAATCATGCTCGGTTTTTCAAATCACTGGGGGCGCCGCCGAACGGGCCTGCCACGCCTTCGGCGCCATCGGCTTCGCGAGGGAAGGAATGCGCCCCGGCGCGGATGAGGCCACGGCGCGTATTTGGCCACGCGCGCGCCGGAGGGAATTCAGCGCCAAGCGCCTTCACCCCAGAAGACCCGACGTCAACAAAACAAACTTGAGGCCCCAAAGGGGCCCCAAAGAGGCGGACCGCCAAAACAATCACGCAACCAACGCAACGAAAAACACGTGTAAATGTCAAAAAGCGCAGTACTCTGTGACCTCTTCGGCCACGCAACACCGCGAGAATGCCCAAGAAGGCATTGGAAAAAGAGCCCGCGCGCGGCCTGGCGACTTCCCCGCGCCGCCCCAAGGTTCCCGATGCGCGCCGAAATAACCGCAGAGAAAACCCCGGAAAGTCTTTGGAAGGCCCCCGCACCATGCAATATCCGCCACCGAACAATCTCGCGGACACCTAGCGCGCACGCGCGGGCGTCCACCATGGATGCCCAACTCCGGCTTCGGAGACAATCGCGCGCAACCGCCCGGGGGCTTCGGCAACCTCGCGAGTGGCCCAGGGGCCCGCGGGCCCCAGGGAATCGAGGACCGAGTTCGCGACTCCGGAAGCATCGGGCGCGGCGCCAGCCAGTCGCTCGTCTCTCGCTGACAGTGGGACGCCTGCAGATCCGGTAAAAACCTGAGGAACCGCTTTTCAGAGATTCACAGAACCAGAAAACGGGGCGCGCCAAATTCTCGCGTCCGAACTTCTCTGAGAATCTCTGAAAATCTCTGAACTAGACACCCCGCGTGAAACATTCCCATAAACCCAAACCCTCGGAGCTGGCCGAAACTCTCTGAGAGTTTTTCGGCCCGCGAAATTTGGCGCGCCCGGATTTCCCGTTCCGAGATTCTCTGAAATCGGCCTGCGGCGCCGCCCAGCAGGTCCTCACGCGCCGAGGGTGGGGGCCGTGGACATCGCAGGCCGCGATGGTCCCGACCGCGAGGTCCTTCCTCCTGTTCCTCGACGAGTCCACGCTCATGGACACGCTCTCTGCGCTGAGCGTGGACCGCGCCATCCGCCGGCACTTCTGCGCGACGACAGCCAACTGGCCGCCGACGGACAAGGCGATTCTTTCCCGAGCTGCGCGTGCCACCGAAAACGTACAATTGCCCCGGGCTCGGAGAGAAACACTTTCGAAGCATTTTCAGGCCGCCAGCGTCGTGGCCGCCGACCCGCCGCGCGCCGACCGCGAGCCTAGCTGGGCCCATTACGTCCACGGCGGCGGGCGGGCGCCCAAGAGAGCTGTCGCGACGGTGCGCGCGGCGTGGCGCCCGCCCCACTGCAACCGCACATGCGGCCTCCATGGCGCCACAGGCGTAATATGTGTGACGCACTCTCGGGCCCCCCATCAACGCATCGGCCAGCGCCCAAGCCCCTGAAACGCAAACCTACTGCGCCCCCCGTGCAAGCCGCGCACCCGCTCCCAATGCTCGTGCACACCAGCTTTTCTGCCCGCCCTCAACAGTTTCATTGAGCGCCCATGCGTTACTTGGGCTCCTCAAGCCCTCGAAAAGTCCTTGGGTAACTTCTGCGAATGCGCGCGCTGCGCTTCACAATTCGGTTCTCTATTTTTCTTTGGAACTCTCCCAGAATATCTGGTTCCGATTTGTCCCGATCTTCCGCTCAACTGACCCAAGCTCGCATGCTGCGAGCTGGCTCAGCTCGGGGACTCCCGCGGGGACAGACCGGCGGGTTCCCGCCTGTGACTTCCTCGCGAGTCACTCACAGACGAGGCTCCCGCCTGATACATTCTCCTTATTCAAGCCCTCCGGAGGCCAAGAGTGACGACGGTTACACGTTTCGGATGACCCGCCTCGGATTAAAACCATGAGGTGCGGGCCCCATAAGGAGAGGCTTCCCGCCTGAGACTTCGTCGCAATTCACTCACAGACGAGGCTCCCGCTGAATATTTCCTCCATATTCACGCCACAAGGGCCCAAAAGTGACGACAGTTACACGTTTCGGATGACCCGCCTCGGAATAAAAAGATGAGGTGCGGGCCCCATAGGGAGAGGCTTCCCGCCTGAGACTTCGTCGCAATTCACTCACAGACGAGGCTCCCGCTGGATAGGTCCTCCAGATTCTCGCCACAGGGGCC